CTCTTTTCTCGATCGTTAGCTTAGCTGGTACTAATAGTTCGCTTCCCGGGGAGAAATTCTGGTTGCCTGGCTGCTTCGTTTGCCGTACATTACTAGGACTGAAATTGGCAAAAAATTTCGCCTTAAAATTATTAATTAACGTTTGTTATACGCACTTATCCGCCCCGGTTTCCACATCCGTCCAAAATTTCCCGTTAACCAGCGCCACATTATTAAACAATCATCCTTTTAATTTGTTTTTATCTAGAAAGTCAAAAAGATATTTTTACTAGTAGTTTCACATCCATGTTCCTATATTTCTATTTTGGGGGGTTTTCTTGCCATTTTCATCCAAACTCTTAAACCCATGAGGCCATGACATGATGAGATCAAAATATTCGAAACTCCGGAGCAATAATCACTTCGTAGGTAGATACTGTATGTATTATTTTCCATTTGTTCAGACCAAAAAAAAATCAGTGGTTTTAGGCTTTTGGCTACGTACGGAAGATGCAAAACATTAGCAAAGTATCACAAACACTAACAAAATGGAGCGACATTTTTGTAAATTTCTAATGATTAGTTCCACTCACCATACTTTTTCAATGGTTACTACACCACTCACTAACTTGTGACTATTTTCTTCGTTCTTTGCAATGTGACATTGTTATGTGCTCCGTTAGATTGATTTATACTTACACAAAACTTTCATATCAAAGTCTCGTTAGTAGTGTTCCAAAGAAAATGTCCCTCTATTCCAGAATGATTATTTAGTTTAGAAGGTTTTTTTTTAATACAAATAAAAATTTACAACACAAGTAATTATTTTAGAACAGATGGAGTATAAAAGATTAACAAATCAATTGCTACTTCTAAGTAAAACACAATCACATGCACCCTTTTTCCTTTAAACGAATGGATTATATATATTATAACAAAAGGAAAAATAAAAAATCAAACCAGAATAACGAAGGGTAAGCCCATTCTGTTTTGACAGAACAGTGACAATTAAATTAGGTGGGGACCTATGAGTGAGTTCAATTAATTAGTACAAAAATATAGAGTTAGGAGGTAGTAATAAGTGGCTCTACCAACTCTACGGTCAAAAATCTCAAATTTGGGGAACTGGATAAAAAGGTAGGGAGGTTAAAAAGACAGCATGTTGTCTCACAAAGTAAGCAGAGTAGTTAACCTAAGGTCATAATTAGTGTCACTTTCACTGGTTAATCTCTCAACTTTAGAAAGGGTCTAAATCTCGTATTTCTTCCATAAGAGGAAGCTAATTAAACCCCACCCAACTTTTTAATTACTATTCCTTAAAAAATCACCAACGTTGGACCATGTTGTCCTCTCTTTCTGTTGCATATGTAAATGATGTCTCTAATTTCCCCCTTTCATCTTTAACATCTCTAATTCTGCCCACTTTTATTGATATTGCCCGCACTTCATTTACCCAAGAGTTAAAACACTGGACTTTTAACTCTAAACTCAAACGACGGTGGCTACAGGTAGCAACTTTTGACCGATTGGCTGTAATGTAAGCAGTGAATCCATTGAGTAAAATTACTTGATGGCTGTGATAAATGGCAATGCATACATTTGATAAACTAGATTTCGCTCCAAATTAGAATTGCTGGTCAACAATAATCTATTTGGATTTTGGAATAGTGCAAAGAAAAATCTGGAAAACAAAACGGGAAATAGAGCAAACAAGTGTAAAACGTGTGAATGAAGCTGATTTGGAGAAAGCCAGTTGTCAGGAGGGTCAGGTGGGCTGACGAAGATCGTGACTTGGTTCCCAATTGGTACACGTTTCAAGAACGACATATCACCGCCAGTTGTCAGTTCATAACCGGACATACCGTACACAAACATTAAATTCCCAATTATTAAGATAATCAGTCTCCCAAAAGAAAATTACTACTCCCTCTATTTCAATTTCAATTTGTAGGTCGTTTTAGATTTTGAGAGATTTTTCAAAATGTAAGTCGTTTTACAAATTTTATGCAAATTAATGACTATTTTTTCAACTTTACCCTCAATAAATGATGCCAATCTATTTTTATTTAATCTTGTTTATAGTTTTAATATAATTAATGGGATAAAATAAATATTCAACACATAAATTAATTATTAGATGATTGTCTTCTTAATTTACGTGCAAAGTGTAAAGTGACTTTATATTTTGAAATGTATGGAGTAGTACTAATACGCCCACAAATGTAATTATCCGCGGAGAAATAACCAAAATTATTGTTTTAAAAAAATACTGTCTTGCTCAAAATGTGAATATAGTCATATATTACTACTAAGAGCTAGGATTGTGTTACCGGGAAACGGAACGGGGAAACTGAGTGCCGCTATATTAAGGAACACCCGTAGTACAAGCATGCATGTAACCAGACCGAATTTACAGGGCCTAGCCGTCGTCATTCTCATTATTTTTTTTAAAAAAAATATTTTTGAGACAAGGTTGTAATTATTAATTAATTATTACAAGTACTAAAAATAATTAAGTGGTACGTAGAACTCTTTTTGTTGTTTATGAGAAATGGTACGATTAAGAAAGGAAAGGAGTTTACAACAACGAAAATTAAGGCGGAACGCTCTAATCAAAACTCGTGGCAGCCTAGGGATAAGTGCTAATAGTACACACCATCGTACTTCTGAGAAATTATTCAGTACAGCTACTGTACCACATAAAATTGTGCAGCCAGACACAATAATAGAAGTAAAATAGTAATTTTGGGGGAATAGAGATAATTTCTACGGAAGTTATACCACCAAAAGAGGAGGTGTTAGTACTTGCTGCACTAAAAACCAGAATACAACAACCGTACCCAATAATTTTTCCGTACTTTAACGGTTCGTACTCAAATCCCACGCCATTAGACAGACGTCTATTTCCTCTTTGCCTGTGATATTTGTCGCACCGAATTTATTTCTCCTTTTTACGTTAAAAAATATAAATTGAAACAAATTTCTTTTTCTATTATAATTAAAACGCTTATTAGTTGTTAACTTTACTCTCTCCGTCTTAAATCATAGTAACCCGAAACGTTTCTTTTTTTACAGTGATCAAGACACTTATTAATCGTTAAAGTGAAATGATTTGATGACTAATGTGACATACATACATGAAATACACATTTTGTCACCGGCAAAAAAGAGAACAAACAATTTGTTGGATCAAAACGGTTGTTTGCATGATTTTTAGGTGAAAGGGCCTGGACATATTTCATGTTCCTTCCTCGGTATTCGAAAAAGAAGGGAAGAAAAAAAAGGAACTAGCCTTTATCATTAATAGTTTGTTTATTTGTACTACTATTGCTTTTTAACGTGGTAAATGATCAAATTGCAAGGTGGATTAATGTGAGAAACTTCGTTGATAAAGTGAATGAAGATTATCTCGAATTTTAAGACAAGGAAAAAAAAAGTCATCAAGGTAGTCCCCAATGTTGACAAAAAACACACTCACACAGTAAAACTAAAGTTATGCCTTGATTAATTAAGGTTAAAACTTAACGGAAGGTTGCACCTTTTCCATTTTTATTAACCTTTTGGGTAAACCATGATTTTCATGATTACATTAACTTTCAGTTACTCAAACTCCAAAAGAAGTTCTTTTATTTTTTTTCCCCTCCTGAAATTTGACATTCTTATAATTAAAATAAAGGATAAAACACACAAAAGGATAACCACTCAGCAGCCACTCGTCGTCGCAATGTCTCAAAGTAGTTTGTGCTAAAGTTTGTCACGAAATGTTCAACTCAAGAATTGGTATCAATTTCTAAAATATGCATGCTATAACACTAACTAATTTTGTTTTATTTGAAACGAAATTGTTATAAAATGTCCATATCGTGATACACGAATCTTGGCTTGGATTTCATTTCTTCCTAATTATTTGTGGCTTTTTTTTTTTTAGCTTCCCATTATCGAATCGTGTTATAGTCATATTTACTATGTCCCAAAAGTGTAATCATATTCGTTGTACGATTTTGGTACAATTTATTAGGCAACTATTTTGAAATTGGGAGAGTATTTTATTGGGTCTAAGCATGTTTGCAGGAAAAAACAATCCTAAACAATGGATTTTGACTTTTTAAAACTTGACAAAATTACCTATATTATAACTACATATTTGACTTAATATCCAGAAAATATGGTCTCGTATGTATTGTCATTTTGAATTTGTACTCTGACTGAAATTTCAGTATACTGCAAATATGGTAAATTTTACAGTTTTATACCGTAAAAAATTATAAATAACAGCACTCAATGCAACTCAATGCATTCAAAGGAAGCCGAATATGTCAAAAGAGCATTCCGGGCATTGTCATGGGCTTTGATCAACTCAATTAATTATAGCGTTGAGAAATTTATCACAAGTCAAATTGTTTGGTATAACAGTGGTGTTTTAGGTAAAAAAAAAAATTCGGCAACGAGTTTGTTTGATCTTTTTAATGCTTTTCCATTTATATCAAGCTAAATAACAAAATATCATCCTATAGTCAATGTCAACTCTTACCCATTTCGTTTACCAGACTTAAAAACTTGCTGGACTTAGTAAAATAAGAGCAAGAAAAATACGTGTTAAGTGATAGAGAGGAAAACATAAATGAAAAGGGAAATCGGGTGTGGAAATTAGGCATTATACCCATGACTGTGGAATAATGTAGAGATATATGTGTTGTGTATAAGAAAACAAAACTACAAGATAATTGGGTACACTGCTAAATTTGTGACGGGCAATTTATGCAGCATGAAAGTGTGTTGTTTTCCTGAATCATAATAGCAAGTGTTTTGAAATGGAAAAAAACAGAAATTGCCACAAACAAAGGCCCATATAAGAAAATATATTTATTATTTAGTAGTACTAATTAATTTTATTCTTTTTTTTTTACAATCAAAGCCTCAAAACCACCCCATCCCCATTTTGCCTTGTTTCTTTTTGCACTTTTAAACGAGAGCTATACTACACAAAAGGTGGACCACAGAGCTTATTAGCCCCCCCAAGCCTTACCATTCCATTCTATATAAACCCCTTTCTCTTCCTTCTCCCCCCACTCAAACCCCCATTGCCTGAAGAAAATTTCTCTCTCAATTTGTCCTTCCATATTCACTTTTCTCTCCTTCCTTTCCCATCCCATAAATCATACTTCCTTTTTAGCTTGAAAAAAAATCAGAGAGAACCAACCATGCCTGAGGCACCAAAAGAGGGTACTACTTATGTTCATGACTCTTCTAGTGTTGCTGAGAAGAACAAGAGAGTGCTTGAGTTCATTGAACAAGTGACTGAAAACGCTGATGAGGTTCAAAAGAAAGTGCTTGCTGAAATCTTGTCAAGGAATGCCCATGTTGAGTACTTACAGAGGCATGGCCTTAATGGCCAGACTGATAGGGAGACTTTCAAGAAGATCATGCCTGTGATCACATATGAGGACATTCAGCCTGATGTTACTCGTATTGCTAATGGAGATAAATCCCAAATCCTTTGCTGCCAACCCATTTCTGAGTTCCTGACAAGGTTGGTTTTTGTTTTTTTTTTTTTTTCCTTTTCAAAAGTGTAAAAAAAACCATTCTTTTCTTGTCTATTTTTTTGGGGGTGGTCATCATGTCATGCTTCTTGCATGTTCATTCATGATTTCTGTTGTGGGCTTCTTCTTTTTTTTTTTTATTTGTAAAAAAATGATTTTTTTTAATTAATGGTTTGTTTGGTAATTATCATATACAGTTCCGGGACTTCTGGTGGCGAGAGGAAATTGATGCCTACAGTTGAGGAAGAGCTGGAGAGGAGGCAATTGCTGTATAGCCTTCTGATGCCAGTGATGAGTCAGTTTGTTCCTGGTCTAGACAAAGGGAAAGGAATGTATTTCTTGTTCATCAAATCGGAGGCTAAGACCCCAGGTGGACTAGTTGCTCGTCCAGTGTTAACCAGCTACTACAAAAGTGCACACTTCAAGAACAGGCCTTTTGATCCTTACACAAACTACACCAGCCCAAATGAGACCATTCTCTGCCCTGACTCTTACCAGAGTATGTACTCCCAAATGCTCTGTGGGTTGTACCTCAACAAAGAAGTCCTACGTGTTGGTGCTGTTTTCGCCTCGGGTTTCATCCGGGCTATCCGATTCCTGGAAAAGCATTGGCAACTTTTAAGCAATGATATCCGGACAGGAACTCTAAACCCACAAATCACTGACCCTTGTGTGAGGGATGCAGTGATGAAAATCTTGAAACCTGACCCACAACTTGCTGATTTTATTGAGGCACAATGTGGGAGGGAGTCTTGGCAAGGGATCATTACAAGGTTGTGGCCAAACACCAAGTATATTGATGTTATTGTGACTGGGACCATGTCACAGTACATCCCAACTCTGGATTACTATAGCAATGGCCTACCTCTTGTGTGCACAATGTATGCTTCCTCCGAGTGCTTTTTTGGTGTTAACCTTAACCCTCTCTGCAAGCCAAGTGATGTCTCTTACACCCTCATCCCCACCCTTGGCTACTTTGAGTTCCTCCCTGTTCAAAGAAACAATGGTGCCACCAACTGCATCAACGTCCCCAAGTCTCTGAATGAGAAAGAGCAACAACAATTGGTTGATCTTGCCGATGTTAAACTTGGACAGGAGTATGAGCTTGTTGTTACTACTTATGCAGGTACAATTAAAACCATTCTCTTGATTCATTCCTTTGTTCTGAAATTAATTAATTCACCCAAAAAGTTCCTAATTTTGCTTTGTCTTTTTGTTGTATCTTGAAGGTTTATACCGCTACAGAGTGGGAGATGTGCTCAGGGTGGCTGGTTTCAAGAACAAGGCCCCTCAATTCAACTTCATCTGCAGGAAAAATGTAGTCTTGAGCATTGATTCTGACAAGACTGATGAGGTTGAACTCCAGAGTGCAGTGAAAAATGCAATTACCCATTTGGTTCCATTTGGTGCCCAGTTGACTGATTACACCAGCTTTGCGGATACCACCAGCATTCCAGGGCACTATGTCCTATATTGGGAGCTCAGCCAAAATGAATCAACCCCGGTTCCTCCATCAGTGTTCGAGGACTGTTGCCTCACCATTGAAGAGTCCCTCAACAGTGTTTACCGCCAGGGACGTGTTTCTGACAAGTCAATTGGCCCACTTGAGATCAAAATTGTGGAGTCTGGAACCTTTGATAAGCTCATGGATTATGCCATCAGCTTAGGTGCTTCAATCAATCAGTACAAAACTCCCCGGTGTGTCAAATTCGCTCCAATTGTTGAACTTCTCAACTCACGGGTTGTTTCAAGCTATTTCAGTCCAAAGTGTCCCAAGTGGGTTCCTGGTCATAAGCAATGGAATATCAGCGGCAACTGAGGAGAGGATATAACGAAGAAGATAAATGAAGAAGAATTGTTTTTTGTGATCAATCTTAGTAGTACCTAGGAATTAAGGAAGAAAAAACCAAAAAAAAAAAAAATGCCCATGTAGGTTAACCCTCCCCTTTCCCTCCTCCCTTCATTTTAATGTTTCTTTGAATCCCTTCTGTCAATTTTAACTGTTGTTCATCATGGTTAGAGAATTTTAAATTAGCCCCTTGTACAAAAAGATGTTCCTCTTCAAGGTAATTAAGCTCTTCTTCTTCCCAATTATTCTGCCTTTTTTGACCAATTGATACATTTTTGCTACTCAAAATTGATCCAATTTCGATAAGAAGCCATGATCATCCAAAGTTGTTGGCTGGAAATAATACCGTATACGTATATAGTAACGTACATGATCTGTGGTGCCAGCTGCCAAGTGCTTGAGATTGAAGCATTCAAACATATTAGTTTCATGGGAATTGTTCTTCGTATTTCCAGCCAGGAATCCTGCCCACTCAACTCTCATGCGTTTTATAGCTTAGGTACTAGTGTCAGAAAAGAAACTCAAAAAAATAAGATAAGCACACTACGCAACACTTCTACTGCAATTTTTTGTGTCCCATTAATTTGGCTTTTCTTTTATTCATTTTTCTCTTTTTCACTTGGGCTGAGCTAATAATACTGTTACTTTTCATGAAAAAGCAAACCAACTTTATGTCTCTTACAATTTAGCCTAAATATAAGCAATCCACTATCTTTCTATTCTAGGTGTTGGAAACGTTGATAACACTTGTTGTTCTTGCATTTCCCCCTCAACTTCAGTCAATTCTTCGTCTTTAAAGTAGATTTATTACTAACATGCAAAAAAGCAGCCCCAAATTGCAAGGGACCCTTTACAAAAGGATTTTTTTTTTCTTTTTTTTTGCTTTTGGAGGATTAATCAGTGAAAAGTGCCAATATACGTAAACTTTCTTCGATTAAAAGTGTCAATTCCCTATTTGGTGAATGGCATCGATCTTCAACTCAATATAGGTGTTGGTTCTTTTGTTTCTTTTCTAACGTGAAAGAATAACGGCTCAATGCATGTCCTGTTTGGAGTCTCAGTTCTATTGACTCCTCTTATTCTTTGATTTAGTGCAATCATTGTTGTCTACTATTCTTGAAGTAGAATTCCAATAATCTTTAGGTTAAATTTTCTTATTAAACAATGGCTAGTTGTTTGATTTAATTCTTCTAAATCAAAATGCATCAAATAATTAGGTGAAACGTTAAGCTGAAAAAAAAAATTTAATGAGGCAATGTGTGTTTTTGTTAACATAACACACCTACTTTTTTAATAAGTCGCAGGTTGAAATCACCACGGTTATTAAATTTGTGATTTTTTTTTTTTGAACCGAGCAGTAAAGATCTATTATAATATGTGCGGACCTAATGAGTGAAGATTAATTAAAAAACAAAAAACAGGTCACTAAAAGTTGGGTAGTTAACATTCCGCTTGCAGAAAAGGCGACCCGGCGATTAAATTAGTAGAATTAGGTAATTAACAATGTAACATCCCAAGTTTTTAGCGATTCCACGAAGGACACGAGTTTCACCTTTCGTTATTGCTTGTATGTATGTAAGTATACGAGTACTTATCCAAAATACTCTAATAAAGTGTACGATATAGGTAACACATGTAAATGCGTATTTGAAACACGTAATCTAATAACGTAAATGCTTTCTTTTATTCCATTTTTTAAGGTAATTGATTATATTCTCCTATTTTCTTTGATAATACTGGAACATATATTAAAAAGCTGTCGGTATTTTTATCCGTGACAACATTGAATTTTAAGTTCAAATTACTAATTCTGTCCTAAAAAAATGGTCTTAATTGAGTTTATAAATTTATACTAAAATCAGTATAAAATTCAAAATTCAATGTGAATTATTTTGGTGGAACGGAGGGACAAAATCGCCCTCAAGTTTATGTTAAACAGTAGCAAATTTCACATCAAAACATTTCGGACCTCCGCCGCCTTCTCCACCTCTCCACTAGCGTCAAGTACATATACTTTCTTCATACTCCATCGTTTCTCCTTGCTTCGTATTAAATCATATCAGCCTTCTGATCATTTTTTTGCTCAATTTTATAATATTACATACTCCAGTATTCTTAATTTCTTATAACATCCTTTCGGGATACAAAAATCTTTATGCCCCAAAAAGAGACCAAGTAATTGGAGGAGTTACTAATTACTGCGTACCGTGTTCGCGGTGAAACCTACACCAGCAAACCACGTGTATGACTTTAAATTATCTTTATCTACAAATAATAATTATTAAAAAGCAAAAAAAAAAAAACCCAGATTCTCACTAGAACCAAACAAACCAGAGAGAAATGAAAAAAAAGTATAGTACAGTAAAGGAAACGTGGAGGAAAGACAAAAACTGAAGCAAGAAAAAGGACTGAGAAAAAAACACCAGTAATTATTATGTGAACCATGGACAAAGTAGGAGGACAGACAGGTACGTATCGAGAATCAGAGAGGGAAGAAAAAAGAAAAGAAAAGGAAAGGAGGGGAAGAACAGAGAGGGAGGAGGAAGAGGGTCGGATAAGATAATGATGATTTTTACTCAGAAAATGTCCCCTGGTTTGCCTTGTTAAAACGAAACATTGCCAAAACATTTGGTACAGTGGGAAGGGGGGGATTCTGATGATTTCAGACAATTGGTACTGCTCAGAAAATAACAACCTATACTCAGTCCACAGTAAAAAAAATTTTAAAAAAAGGACAGAGACATATGCAGCAGAGGGACAAGTCCCAGAGAAAACATCCCCCCAAAATTAAAGCTCTGATGTTGAAAGCAGAGCAAAGGGGGAGGGAGAGTTGGGTTTTGCATTTTGATTCGGGTTATTTATTAGAACCTACCTACCATCAACTTTGGTGAATTTGCATATTGTTGGGTAAGAATTTAAAAAATTACTCATCAACAATTGGTTTTAGCTATCACAGACATTAATACTTGTGCACTTTTACTAGTCAAACGTTTGATGTCAACTGTAAAAATATGTTACAATAATTATGCATTTCGAAAGAGTATTTGTGTTGTGTTGAGAAGGAAAATGTTGGTCTTAGAATTTACCATAAATCATGGGAGCAAGTACGGATACCGTCTACAACCAAAATATTACGGATTACCAACCGAACTCAAAACAAAAACGATAATGAGAAGAGGGATTTTGTACGGAAAAAAAAATTAATGTGCAAATGGTGATTTTATGATACATTGAAGGATGTTGTGGTAATTTGGACAAATACGTAGGCATGCTTTTGGGTTTTTGGCCTTTTGTTTTGTAGTCGACTGAAAAAAGAAAGAAACTAAGGACACACGCAGAAGTGGTTGCTGCTGGATGGACGTGAGTGGGTGAATACATGGAAACCAACTGATGAGACTGTACAATCCATCCATTATTTTTGCATTTTGTCTTCTTCATCCATCATTTTACCATCATCTTCAACCCCCCTTCCCTTTATTGTCCTTCTTCTTTTTTGTTTTTGGATTAATTTCCACCATTATTGATTGAATGTGTGTAGACTGTACTATCGGCACTTCTTCACAATTAATTGACACATCATATGTGCAAGAACTAAAAGGGGTAACAACACAAATCATCAGTGTTTATTTATGAATGGTCAGAGTGTTCGTTAATGTATAAAACCATTTAAAAATATATATAAAACACTTTAACGATTCTAATTTTTGATACCATCACTGTCTCTATTATTACTTGCTTGTTGTTGGTGCATTACTAGTACGAGGCTATAGATGCAATATGCATTGTCATCTGCCAAGCATTTAGTTTTTTCTCTCTCCGGCCAAAGGGAGTAACTGTCAATTATCAATAAAGCAGACACATGATCAAGCATTCTAATTTCTAATCACTTCCAATCAATTCCGGAAATGAACCATCATGTGAAATGAAATGCTACTATTTCAAGTTTCCAAATCCTCAGCGTATCTTATTTTTCAACAAATTATCTGAAAATGCCACTCCAATAATTTGTGCCTACTCTCTGATCATTATGGTCATCATAATTCATAAGTATACTCATAATTTTCAAGGGGGGAAAAAAAACATTGGGAAAATTATATGACCAAAAAAATTATATCGACTTCCTGATCGAATGTGTTTTTTCTTGCCAATTTAATGCGAATTTAAATCCGAAACAAAACGAATTTTTAGATGAGAAAAAAATGGAGACCAAATTACGTATCCATCGATCTCCTTTGTCTGTGAGGGTCCAGAAGCCATGCACTTGCGAATTGCAATCCCGAGGGAGCGTAAAATCCGGGAAAAATATTCAGCTGGGAGCTGAGTCTTGGGGGGGGACCTCATCTACAATTTCGCCACGTGTATCGTTGACCTGGCGTTCTTTGAGAGATGATACAAAATACTTAAGCGCAAGCAGACGATTTACCCAATCACAGCACAAGACTCCACGTGGCATCTTTGATAATTTGTAATCACCACAACTATGAACATCTGTAATCCTTGGGGTTTACTACTATACAGTTTCTTTTCCCGTATCAATTTTTCATTTTAGAATTAGTTGATGTCGTGGATGCAAATATACAAAAAAAGAAGAATAAGTACCACTTCTTAATATATAGATCGAGACGTTATACGATGAATCATATGTCCATTTGATTTGTCATCACAAATAAGATTAGCAAGTTTTAAGACAAATGATATACTCCTTCTGCCCCAAAATTATTGTCCAGTTTGAATTTTTATTTTTAGTACAAATTGAACTAAAAGTAAAATCTCAAATTGAATAATAATTTTGAGACGGAAGAAGTATAAGGCTTTACGTCCTCGCAAAGCATATCAATCAATCATCTCATTTCACATAAAACCAATCATATAACGGGCGCTGCTTAAATAAAGGTTTATACATAAGCAAAAGCACCGTACAACCTGAAGTGAAGGGGCAAAAGGAAATAATAAAAAAAAAATCTAATGCTTTAGTGTCATTCAAAAGTACGCTTATCCTTTGGCATAGTAGTACTAATTATTTGGCCAATTAGGTCTATTATCATAACCTATGTTATCAAAATCAAACAAAGTGACATGTTTCTTCTTACTTTAAAGCTTGCTGTCAAATGTCAACTTAAAAGCCAGATTAGTTCCCAGTTAATTGTTTCTTTTTTCTGTGAGATAATGCGATACAATATGGGAAATGCACTCAAGAACCAAGGACAAGTAGCAGTACTTAATATTTTAGCTGGGTGAGGATGAGGATTGATTAATTAATTTTGTGACGTCGGTGGTTAAAAATGTGGTCCTCTTCATAGAGATAATTGTGGAAGAAAACCGGCCGATATGATCAACAATTAATGGCCTCCATCATTCATCATTTGATTTAAAAAAAAAAAAAACAAAAAAAACCTCATTCAAATATAAGAACCTAGCTAAGGTATTCAGCTTTTGTGAGACCTTTATAGCCAACAAAACGTGATGAGTAATGGTAAAAACA